CTTATGAACTTAAGTTTGGATTTATTTTTGTAGTTACTCTTTAAAGCGTTTCAGATGCTATTTTACAATTCTAAAATAAGTTTGTTTCATTAGTAGAATTCTCATTAATCATTTGATACTGGACTATATGAAGAAGAAAGTGGCATCAGGACAGGAAGAAGATTTACCAACAACCTGCATTATGAAGATGACACAACTTTGCTTGTAGAAAGTAAAGGAACTTGAAGAACTTGCTCAGGAAGGTCAAAGACTACAGCTTTCAACATCAAAGGAGAATACTTATTTCAGGACCAATGGGAGCTCTAGTGGCCTAGTGTTAAAGAGAGACACTGCCATCCCAAAGGTATACAATTTGAATACACCAGCTGCTCCATGAAAGGTGCAAAATCTCCTATGTGATTTATTGACTCTGAAAATTCTCTGGTCGACTATGAGTTGGTTTCAAATTAATGGTACAAAGTAACAAAAACAACAACAGTAGCAGGAGGACCAGTATACAACATCATCATGTTGTTGTTATGCGCCATCGAGTGGTTTGCTACACATAGCAACCCTATGTACAACAGCCCTAAACCCTGCTCTATCCTGTGCCAATTTTATTGTCTCTGACACACCGACCCCATTACCCCAGTGACGGAATCAATCCATCTCATTAAGGGTCTTCCTTTCCTGTGCTGTCCCTCCACCCTCCCAAGCATGACGTCCCTCTCCAAGGACTGGTCCCTTCTTGGAACCCAAAATATGTTGGATGAAGCTTCAGAATCCTTGCCTCTGAAAAGCAGCCTGATTTCACCCTCTCTAGGATGAGCCTCTTTGTTCTACTAGTGGTGCACGGTATATTCAATACTCTTATCCAGCACCACAGTTCAAAGGCTCCTTCTTCATCCCTATTCACTGTCCACCTCTCTGATGTGTAGCAAGTAATTGAAAAGCCTATGGCCTGAATCACGTGCACCTTAGTCTCCAGACTGACATCACTGCTCTTCAGTACTCTGGAGGTGCGCCTGACAGCAAACTTTGCAAATGCAATTGGTCTTTTGTTTTCCTGGCTGCTAGTACCAAGGGTGTTGATTGTGGAGCCAAGCAAACTAAAGCTTTTAATAATCTCAATCTCTTCACCATTCATCATGATGCTGTTAGTGAGTGAGAATCTTTATTTTCCTGATGTTGAGCTTCAGTCAATTGTAGACTGTAGTCCTTGACCTTCTGCAGCAAGCCCATCCTGTCCTTTTCAATTTCAATCTTCAAGCAGATTGTGTCATCTGCATAACACAGATTGTTGATGAGTTTCCCTTCAATCCTGATGCTGCATTTAATGCATTAGAATTGCTAGAGATGCTACCTTTGAATTAGGAGTCCCTCCCTAGGGACTATGACCTTAGAGATCCCTCTTAAAAATATAGATAATATTAAATCATGGCTACTCATTACACCAGATCAGGTGATCGAAAGAGTTGTGGTGTTGAAGAAAAGTTCTGAATATTCTATGGACAGCCCGAAGAATGAATGGATATATCATATAGAAAGTTCAGCCAGAGTGCTCCTTGGAGGCAAAGATGGCTAAGCTAAGCTTTGTCTCTCCTACCTTGGATATGTAGTCATGCTAGGCTATTCCTTGGAAAGGGACATCATGCTTGGAAAGGTACAAGGGTCAGCAAAGGAAAAGAAGACCCCCCCAACAAGATGGATTGACACAGTGACTACAGCAATGGGATCAGACGTATCGTAGATAATGAGGATAACACAGGATAGGCAGGATTCAGATCTAGTGTTTCTAAAGACACTATGAGTTAGTTATACTCAACTCAATGGCACTGAACAACAACAACTCATAACATTGATTTACACTTGAGCATTAATTTAAAAAAATGAGCAGTTCAAAACCTCTCCCTCAAGCAGTGCTGCAAAAGAAAGGCCTGGTGAAATACTTCTATAAAGATCACATTGCAGAACATCCTATGGAAAAGTTCTTTTTTCTTTCTTTCTTTCT